CATTTGTCTCTGCAGCAGAAGTGTATATGGTGACTCTGTTACAGCTCTGTTCTTTGTCTTTCTTTTTAGGAAGTAAATCTGGATACCAGCAGTCAAGGTGAGCAGTGGAGAGAAGTAGTTGTTATTGCTCAGATCTCAGTTTCTGGTGCTGCTCTAAGCTTCCATTCTCGTTTGTACGCTTTAGGCAATCCACTCGGAGCCTGCCAAGCCCCCGTCACCAGCCGGCGGATGCACCGGGTTCCCTGCACGTGTGAGTCCTGTGGATGCGTTACAGGACCTGGTGAGGAAGCCCTGAACTTTTCTATTTAAAGGTGCCCTCCGGGTGGCCTTGGGCAGCTGCCCGGGAGTTGCGGTGAGTCGGGGAAGTAGGGAGGAGGAGTGAGGGTCCCCTCAGGTTTCAGCCATGCCAAATCACCTCATCTCCTCTTAACCCAGGCACCCCCCGTGACGATGGCCTCGGTCTCTGAGCGTGCCCGAAGCGTGCGGCCCGAGCAGCCGAGCGTTCTTAGGAGCAGGGTGAGTAGCAGACTTGTGGGGTTTTGGCCGATGGGCTGCCAAGATCGGGCACTGATGTTTGGTTTTCTTTAATACAGCTGTCTGAGAGACACCAGCCCCGTGCCAGCAGGAGCTCCCCAGCTGACGAGGTGGCCTTTCTTTGCACCCGAGACCGGCATCCCCAGCTGTGCGAGAGATAAGTAGAGGGCCATGACCCACAGAGGGGGTGAAAGCAGGGTGCTGGTTTGGGAATTACTGGGAGGGGTTTTTGAGTCCCCTTTGGAGGTGTGGGGGTGTCCATGAAGCGGCCCCTTACGCCCCATAAAAGCAAAGCCTGACTTTGGATCACAGTGCTGAGGTGCGCAGGGCAGAGCAGTCCCGGTGTGTATCGTGTCACTTGTCTACTGTGTATTATGTGTTGTTTGGATATGTCATGTCTTTTATCTTAGCCCTATGAGGGGCCTGTCAGAAACCCTGGCATCATTGTTAGCACCTGTGCTCTCTGCATTCCTCGGCCTGGCACCCAGGCTATAGAACTTTCCACTTGGGATCTCAGACAGGCATCAGACTCTCTTGTCTCTTTAGAAGCATCCGGTCAGGTGTCTTTTCAGGTCTTGTTCTGAGCTGTATGGGCAGCTCTGCCCCGCCAGGATCCATTATGGCGGACTAGGACTTGAAAGAACGTGAGGGCAGGTAGAGGCTTCTGGCCGTAGGATTCTCGGGCATCCATCTTTGCAGTTCTTGGAATAAATCATTTGGTTAGCATCTTCTTCCTCCAGGTTTCTCTGAGCCTGATCAGCTCACCATCGGTCTCCCCTTGGTCATCCCCTTTTGCATTCTCTCAGTCCTCGCAGCCATTTTCCTTGCCAGGAGATTTCTGTCCGTGTTGTGTCCCCGTTGTCTGTCACGTCCTGTCCTGTGTCACGGGTGTGTGCACACACATTTGTGCCGGAGCTGCTCTGCCCTGCTGCCTAGGCTGGCGTAGTAGGAGAAGTCCTGGGGACTTGAAGTTTGTAATGTGGGATGTTGTTGGACTCTAGGTGGGATTTGTAGATGCACACAGGAGATCTGGAGCTCTTAAGTTATCCTGCAACAGTTTGACTCTTGTCCTAACTTTTTTTTTCAGATTCGGATGGATTAAATATGTGCCAGAGGGCCCCATCCCGGGTGAGTGGTTTCCCCCGAGCAGGTGAGGCGCCATTTGTCTCTGCAGCAGAAGTGTATGCGGTGACTCTGTTACAGCTCTGTTCTTTGTCTTTCTTTTTAGGAAGTAAATCTGGATACCAGCAGTCAAGGTGAGCAGTGGAGAGAAGTAGTTGTTATTGCTCAGATCTCAGTTTCTGGTGCTGCTCTAAGCTTCCATTCTTGTTTGTACCTTTAGGCAATCCACTCGGAGCCTGCCAAGCCCCCGTCACCAGCCGGCGGATGCACCGGGTGCCCTGCACGTGTGAGTCCTGTGGATGCATTACAGGACCTGGTGAGGAAGCCCTGAACTTTTCTATTTAAAGGTGCCATCCGGGTGGCCTTGGGCAGCTGCCCGGGAGTTGCGGTGAGTCGGGGAAGTAGGGAGGAGGAGCGAGGGTCCCCTCAGGTTTCAGCCATGCCAAATCACCTCATCTCCTCTTAACCCAGGCACCCCCCGTGACGACGGCCTCGGTCTCTGAGCGTGCCCCAAGCGTGCGGCCCGAGCAGCCGAGCGTTCTTAGGAGCAGGGTGAGTAGCAGACTTGTGGGGTTTTGGCCGATGGGCTGCCAAGATCGGGCACTGATGTTTGGTTTTCTTTAATACAGCTGTCTGAGAGACACCAGCCCCGTGCCAGCAGGAGCTCCCCAGCTGACGAGGTGGCCTTTCTTTGCACCCGAGACCGGCATCCCCAGCTGTGCGAGAGATAAGTAGAGGGCTACGACCCACAGAGGGGGTGAAAGCAGGGTGCTGGTTTGGGAATTACTGGGAGGGGTTTTTGAGTCCCCTTTGGAGGTGTCCATGAAGCGGCCCCTTACGCCCCATAAAAGCAAAGCCTGACTTTGGATCACAGTGCTGAGGTGCGCAGGGCAGAGCAGTCCCGGTGTGTATCGTGTCACTTGTCTACTGTGTATTATGTGTTGTTTGGATATGTCATGTCTTTTATCTTAGCCCTATGAGGGGCCTGTCAGAAACCCTGGCATCATTGTTAGCACCTGTGCTCTCTGCATTCCTCGGCCTGGCACCCAGGCCATAGAACTTTCCACTTGGGATCTCAGACAGGCATCAGACTCTCTTGTCTCTTTAGAAGCATCCGGTCAGGTGTCTTTTCAGGTCTTGTTCTGAGCTGTATGGGCAGCTCTGCCCCGCCAGGATCCATTATGGCGGACTAGGACTTGAAAGAACGTGAGGGCAGGTAGAGGCTTCTGGCCGTAGGATTCTCGGGCATCCATCTTTGCAGTTCTTGGAATAAATCATTTGGTTAGCATCTTCTTCCTCCAGGTTTCTCTGAGCCTGATCAGCTCACCATCGGTCTCCCCTTGGTCATCCCCTTTTGCATTCTCTCAGTCCTCGCAGCCATTTTCCTTGCCAGGAGATTTCTGTCCGTGTTGTGTCCCTGTTGTCTGTCACGTCTTGTCTGTCCTGTGTCACGGGTGTGTGCACACACATTTGTGCCGGAGCTGCTCTGCCCTGCTGCCTAGGCTGGCGTAGTAGGAGAAGTCCCGGGGACTTGAAGTTTGTAATGTGGGGTGTAGTTGGACTCTGGGTGGGATTTGTAGATGCACAGAGGAGATCTGGAGCTCTTAAGTTATCCTGCAACAGTTTGACTCTTGTCCTAACTTTTTTTTCAGATTCGGATGGATTAAATGTGTGCCAGAGGGCCCCATCCCGGGTGAGTGGTTTCCCCCGAGCAGGTGAGGCGCCATTTGTCTCTGCAGCAGAAGTGTATGCGGTGACTCTGTTACAGCTCTGTTCTTTGTCTTTCTTTTTAGGAAGTAAATCTGGATACCAGCAGTCAAGGTGAGCAGTGGAGAGAAGTAGTTGTTATTGCTCAGATCTCAGTTTCTGGTGCTGCTCTAAGCTTCCATTCTCGTTTGTACGCTTTAGGCAATCCACTCGGAGCCTGCCAAGCCCCCGTCACCAGCCGGCGGATGCACCGGGTTCCCTGCACGTGTGAGTCCTGTGGATGCGTTACAGGACCTGGTGAGGAAGCCCTGAACTTTTCTATTTAAAGGTGCCCTCCGGGTGGCCTTGGGCAGCTGCCCGGGAGTTGCGGTGAGTCGGGGAAGTAGGGAGGAGGAGCGAGGGTCCCCTCAGGTTTCAGCCATGCCAAATCACCTCATCTCCTCTTAACCCAGGCACCCCCCGTGACGATGGCCTCGGTCTCTGAGCGTGCCCCAAGCGTGGGGCCCGAGCAGCCGAGCGTTCTTAGGAGCAGGGTGAGTAGCAGACTTGTGGGGTTTTGGCCGATGGGCTGCCAAGATCGGGCACTGATGTTTGGTTTTCTTTAATACAGCTGTCTGAGAGACACCAGCCCCGTGCCAGCAGGAGCTCCCCAGCTGACGAGGTGGCCTTTCTTTGCACCTGAGACCGGCATCCCCAGCTGTGCGAGAGATAAGTAGAGGGCCATGACCCACAGAGGGGGTGAAAGCAGGGTGCTGGTTTGGGAATTACTGGGAGGGGTTTTTGAGTCCCCTTTGGAGGTGTGGGGGTGTCCATGAAGCGGCCCCTTACGCCCCATAAAAGCAAAGCCTGACTTTGGATCACAGTGCTGAGGTGCGCAGGGCAGAGCAGTCCCGGTGTGTATCGTGTCACTTGTCTACTGTGTATTATGTGTTGTTTGGATATGTCATGTCTTTTATCTTAGCCCTATGAGGGGCCTGTCAGAAACCCTGGCATCATTGTTAGCACCTGTGCTCTCTGCATTCCTCGGCCTGGCACCCAGGCCATAGAACTTTCCACTTGGGATCTCAGACAGGCATCAGACTCTCTTGTCTCTTTAGAAGCATCCGGTCAGGTGTCTTTTCAGGTCTTGTTCTGAGCTGTATGGGCAGCTCTGCCCCGCCAGGATCCATTATGGCGGACTAGGACTTGAAAGAATGTGAGGGCAGGTAGAGGCTTCTGGCCGTAGGATTCTCGGGCATCCATCTTTGCAGTTCTTGGAATAAATCATTTGGTTAGCATCTTCTTCCTCCAGGTTTCTCTGAGCCTGATCAGCTCACCATCGGTCTCCCCTTGGTCATCCCCTTTTGCATTCTCTCAGTCCTCGCAGCCATTTTCCTTGCCAGGAGATTTCTGTCCGTGTTGTGTCCCCGTTGTCTGTCACGTCCTGTCCTGTGTCACGGGTGTCTGCACACACATTTGTGCCGGAGCTGCTCTGCCCTGCTGCCTAGGCTGGCGTAGTAGGAGAAGTCCCGGGGACTTGAAGTTTGTAATGTGGGGTGTAGTTGGACTCTGGGTGGGATTTGTAGATTCACACAAGATATCTGGAGCTTTTAAATTATCCTGCAGCCCTTTGACTTTCGTCCTAACTTTCTTTCAGATGCAGAAGGATAAAATCCAGGGCAGAGCCCCCCATCCCAGGTGAGGGGATTACCCCGAGCAGGTGAGTCACCGTTTTTCTCTGCAGAGGAAGCATAAATGGTGGCCATTACAGCAGTGTTCTTTGTCTCTCTTTTTAGGAGGTCAAGGCCGAGAGCAGCAGTCAAGGCCGAGTGGGCAAGGTGAGCATTGAGTAGCGTACAGAAGCAGTTGTTATTGCTGAGGTCTCAGTTTCTGGTGGAGCTCTAAGCATCTCCTCTTGTTTTTTTTTTTTTAGGTGGTTCACTTGCCATCTATTCTGGTCGAGCATGCCCATTCCAGGTGTGTACAAGCTTAAGGTATCAGTGTGGCATCCTTGTCAGATTTGGGAGGTTGTGTTTTCGCAGTATCTCAGCATGCTTTTCTGCTTTGTTTCATTGCAGGTGCTGTCGCTGCCCTAGGCACGCCAAGGAACAGAGGAGGGCAGGTGAGTCAGAGTTTAGGCAGGCTGACCCATAGGTGAGCGTTAAACAGCAGCATGCTAAGCGTGTACCTTTTCTTTTTGCAGGTATTTTCCAGGCACGCTCTGGAGTGAAATCAAGATTTGAGGTGAGCCGGGGCAGTGGTGCGGAGGAGTCCCGGGGATTACTGGTTTTGAGGGCAATAGTCAGGTTTTCTGTTTTGTCTTAGGTACCCAGAGGAGCCTCATAGCCAAAGCTTGGAAACGGCAGCACCGAAGCCCCCACGGAGAGCATCTCAATGTCCACGTGCGACCGAGGATGGATTTTGTCCGCTCCTCTTCCAAAAGCTAAGTGTCGGGGCCAGTGGCTGGGAGAAGGGGAAAAACCTTTACTCTCACAGGAGGCAATCAGATGTCAGCTTAGGGGACAGGTCTGTAGCGGGGTGGGCTCTCTGGAAGTAAAGGGAGAGGGTTTCCCCTCAGCCTCGCCAGAGCCTTTGCCGGGCAGGGCAGTTCCAACCCATCTCCACATTTTCATGTACTTTGCATCGTCCGCCTCCCTCGACTCGACGTCGTCACGGACCTTTGCCCCGAGGAGCTCGCCTTCAGGTCCGGAGCTACGGCCACGGTCACCCGGCAGTCGGCTTCCTTCTCTAGGCTCGCTGAGCCTCTCGAGCATCCTCTTAACTGCTTCAGCACTAACTTCTTTTAACGAGTTACGTTTCATCATCACGTGCTCTTGTCATAGGGCTTTCTCTCCTTTGGCATCATCAGCCTCTGGCTCATCTTGTGCTAGGAATCTCAGGTCCCTAAGGGGACAGTGCCAGGCAGTTGCCACTCGTCTCTGTGTCATGTCATCTGTGTCTGTGTCATGTCATCTGTGTCTGTGTCATGTCGTCTGTGTCTGTGTTATGTCGCCCGTGTCTGTGTTATGTAGTCTGTGTCCATTGTCTTCCGTGTCACAGGCCTTTGTCACATCTTGATGCTTTATCGGCACTATTCCGTGCCACATTGCCCGCGTTCTACTCACGTTCCTTTCCGGATATCCCTTATTCCGGCACCTGTACATTTTTACTCTGAGACAGGAGTGTCTCAAAGGGACAAGATGTTCTCATCCATCTTCCTTCTCACTACCAGCTTTGGTAGTGCCTTTTTTTCCATGCCATTCTCTTGGACTTCTGGAGGAAGCGTCTTACACCCTCCTCACGTGACTGCAGTCGTTCTATAGGTTCCATCTTCTCAAAGAGTATAGGACTCAAGAATTAGTATCTTCCAGAGAGCTGTTTAAAGTCCTGGCTTATACTGTATGTACTTACACTGCATGTACCTATGTTGGCTTATACTGTATGTACTTATATTGTGTGTACCTATGCTGGCATATATTGTATGTACTTACACTCCATGTACACTTGCACTGTATGCGTCGGCTTATATTGTGTGTACTTATGTTGTACTGCTTATGGTCGGAGCTGCCCTGCCCTGGCACGTAGTCACAGTTAGGTAGAACAGTTATAAAAACTTTACTGTTCCTCTGTCTTTTATGGGATTTTGGGTAGAAAACTTACTGGTCCAGAGTGGGGACAAGTCCTAGCTGTCAGCCACTCGTTGACCGCTTCCTGTCGTCTCACAGGTCCCCGAGGCTGCCGATTTCCCCATAATCTACCATTTGACGTCGAGGAGCAGCAGCCAGAAGAAGCGTGGAAGCGCATTCTTCAGCGTCTCGAGTAAGAGCCGCAGGGAACGTTTAAATGGGAGGAGTGCGTGAGCGTGTGTGAGAGCACGTGACTGTGTCTGTCTGCGTCTGCTCGTCTCTGCGTGTGTGAGCGCATGCTGACTGGATTTAACCTTGTGTGTGTGACTTTTGCTTTTCAGGTTTTTCAACTCATTTGTAAATTTAGAGTAAAAAATCCCCAGCTGGGTTCCCCCCCCCCCGCCCCCAGCTGGGTGTTTTTTTCCCGGGTCCCGGTCGGTCTGCGAGGCGACGTTCATCGCCAAAGTTTGGGTGTGGACCATCCAGGGACCGGGGTTCTCGTCAGGCAGGAGGATTTTTTGGAGGCTCCTGGGACCACGTTCCTGAGGACCAATGATTGCTGGGGTGTAATTTAGCATTGTGATGAGAGGGATGGTGAGTTTGTGTGTAACGTGAAGGGGGTGTTAATGGTAGATGAGTGCTGTTTTTTGTGTGCTTTTGTTGTTTTGGGTTTCCTGTAACAATAAATCCACATGTAATGAAAATAGAAAAAGGTTATCATCTTGTGTTAATATGTGTGTTGTATTGCTCTGTATTGCAGGCTGAGCACAGGGTGAACTCTCTCCTCCTTGCTGTGACACCTGGGCTGGCAGGGATGACACAGTGACCTCGGCCGGCCGATGCTGCCTGTGCCATCACCTGGCACTGACGTGTTTGATGAAAATCTTTTGCTGGGATTTTTCTCCTGAGAAGCCTCAGAACAGAAATGGAACCAATAACAATCTGCTGGCTGTGGAGTGTGGGCTGGAGATGGTTTAGCAACAGGGGCATCTTGGATTGGTCTCCTGTGCATTGTTTCTACTTGATGACCAATCATGGTCCAGCGGTGTTGGGGCTGTGAGCAGTCCCAGGTTTTTATTATTCATTCCTTTCCAGCTTTCTGATGTCTCCTTGCTCTTTTAGTATAGTTCTAATATCTGATTTTCTTTTAATATAATAGAGATCATAAAATAATATTTCAGCCTTCTGAAAGGTGGAGTCAAGATTCTCGTCTCCTCCCTTGTCCTGGGGACCCTCAAACACCACCACAATCAGCGGCTGAGCGGGTTTGTGCGAGCCTCTCAATAACCCTTGGCCGGTCCTGAGTCGGCAGACACTGGGGGGGGGCAGCCCCAACACGACCGACAGCGGGGAGACACCCTCTGTGCCCCGAGGGTACTGAGGGCACCTGGGCTGGGGGGAGACACTCTCTGTGCCCCAAGGGTACTGAGGGCACCTGGGCTGGTCGCCTTTGCAGCACAAGAGACACCAGACACAGCGGTAGAAGATAAAGGGCCAACTCTTAGCAGGGGTTTATCCAAGGTTTTATTAGGAGTCCCAAAGGAGCTCCTGCACCTCAGGGGGCCTCCTGCCGAGAGCCCTGGGAGATGTGCCAAGGTTACATTTAAAGGGAGGTGGAAACCAAAAGTAGATAACATCCTACCAACCATTAAGTGACCCTAAGGGATGGATGCTGGGGGATAGACATACAGGACAGCGTATGGGGCAAGGCTTGGGGGGCTGACCCCTGGCCTCTGGCTCATCACTCGATGACTTGGACCGAAACTTCTGGATGGAGGGGATGGGAGGCTGAGTGATTGACAGAGAGCCCGGGTGGGGGTTTGGGGATGATCTCATCCCAGGAGAGGGATAACACAGGTAAAAGGAGGGGGGTACAATTTGGGATAAACCATTTGGGAAAAATATGGGGATACAAAAAAAAAATTACTTCAAAGTATTACAAAGTATTAAAATGCACTACAGCAGGTTTGGGCAGCACCAAATAGAATAAAATAAAATGCTTTAAAAATTGAAAAATTAAAAATAAATAAAATTAAAATAACAGTATTAATTTAAAATAAATGAAAAACAAAATAGAAACTGTAAAGTGCCGTAAAAGTTCCATAAATGGTAGTGCCGTAATGCAAGATCCTCAAACACCACCACAATAACCAGCTTAAAATGGTCTGGGCAGCACCAAATAAAATAAAAAAAAAAGCTATAAAAATAGAAAAATTAAAAAAAAAATTAAATAAAAAACAAAATTAAAAAAAATAAAATAAATGCTTTAAAAATAGAAAAGTTAAAAAAAATTAAATAAAAAAAATAAAATAAATGCTTTAAAAATAGAAAAATTAAAAATAAAAAATAAAAATAAAATTAAAAAAGGCTTTAAAAATAGAAAAATTAAAAATAAAAACAAATAAAAAAATTTTAAAAAGCTTTAAATATAGAAAAAGTAAAAATTAAATAAAAAATTTTAAAAATCAAATAAATGATTTAAAAATAGAAAAAATAAATAGAAAAATTAAATAAAAAATTAATAAAATAAAAAGCATTAAAAATAGAAAAATTAAAAATTAAATAAATAAAAAGTAAAATTAAAAAATAAAATAAATGCTTGAAAAATAGAAAAATAAAAAAAATAAAAAAATTGAAAAAATAATTGCTTTGAAAATAGAAAAATTAAATACAAAAATTAAATAATAATAAGATTAAAAAAATAAAAAGCTTTAAAAATAGAAAAATTAAAAATTAAATAAATATTTAAAATTAACACATAAAATAAATCCTTAAAAAAAAGAAAAATTAAATAAAAAAATTAAATAAAAAATTAAAAATATAAAATAAAAAGTTTTAAAAAAAGAAAAATTAAAAATAAAAACAAATTAAAAAATTAAAAAAATAAAATAAAAAGCTTTAAAAATAGTAAAATTTAAAATAAAAATAAATGAAAAATAAAAAATATAATAAATGCTTTAAAAATAAAACCATTAAAAATAACAGTTAAATAAAAAACAAAATTAAAAAAATTAAAAAATAAAATAAAATGAATACTTTAAAAATAGAAAAATTAAAAATAAAAATAAAAATTTAAAAAATAATAAGGTTTAGAAATAGAAAAATTAGAAAAAAATTAAAAAAAGCTTTAGGAATAGTAAAATAAAAAAAAGCAATAAATGCTTTAAAAATAGAAAAATTAAAAATAAAAATTAAATAATAATACAATTAATAAAATAAAAAATGCTTTAAAAATAGAAAAATTAGGAATAAAAATAAATTTAAAAACATAAAAAGGCTTTCAAAATCGAAAAATTAAAAACAAAAATCAAATAAAAAACAAAATTAAAAAAATAAATGCTTTAAAAAACGAAAAATTAAAAATAATAAATAAAAAAAAAATTTAAAAAAATAAAATAGAAAGCTTTTAAAATAGAAAAATAAAAAAAAGAAATAAGAAACAAAATTAACAAAATGAAATTAATTAAAAATACATGAAAAACAAAAAAACCCCATAAAGTGCTGTAAAATACAGTAAAAGTTCCTCAAAAGGTAGTGCCGTAAAGCGCGACTGTCGCAAAACTGTCGTAAGGTGCCGTAAAGCGCGACTGTCGTAAAAGGTGCCGTAAAGTGCGACTGTCGTAAAACTGTCGTAAAAGGTGCCGTAAAGTGCGACTGTCGCAAAATTGTCGTAAAAGGTGCCGTAAAGCGCGACTGTCGTAAAAGCTACCGTAAAGCGCGACTGTCGTAAAAGGTGCCGTAAAGCGCGACTGTCGTAAAACTGTCGTAAAAGGTGCCGTAAAGCGTGACTGTCGTAAAAGGTGTCGTAAAGTGCAACTGTCGTAAAAGGTGCCGTAAAGCGCGACTGTCGTAAAAGGTGCCGTAAAGCGCGACTGTCGTGAAAGGTGCCGTAAAGCGCGACTGTCGTAAAAGGTGTCGTAAAGCGCGACTGTCGTAAAATTGTCGTAAAAGGTGCCGTAAAGCGCGACTGTCGTAAAAGGTGCCGTAAAGCGCGACTGTCGTAAAAGGTGCCGTAAAGTGCGACTGTCGCAAAACTGTCGTAAAATGTGCCGTAAAGCGCGACTGTCGTAAAAGGTGCCGTAAAGCGCGACTGTCGTAAAGCATGCACCTTTTACGACGGTCACGCTTTACAACACTACCTTTTATGGAACTTTTATGGTACTTTACAGCACTTTACGGATTTTATTTTGTTTTTTTTTAATTTTTAATTAATTTTTTTAAAAATTATTTTTATTTAATTTTTATTTTTAATTTTTCTATTGTTAAAGCTTTTTTTTTCTTTTACTTTTAGCTTTAATTTTTCTATATTTAAAGCTTTTTATTTTATTGTTTTAATTTTATTTTTATCTAATTTTTAGTTTTAATTTTTCTATTTTTAAAGCATTTATTTTATTTTTTATTTTTATTTTAATTTTTAGTTTTGATTTTTTTATTTTTAAAGCATTTATTTTACTTTTTTTTATTTTTATCATAATTTTTAGTTTTGATTTTTTAATTTTTTTTTTAATTTTTATTTTTGATTTATCTTTTTTAAAGCTTTTTATTTTATTTTTTAATTTTATTTTTATTTAATTTTTTGTTTTAATTTTTTTATTTTTAAAGCGTTTATTTTATTTTTTAGTTTTATTTTTTATTTAATTTTTAGTTTTGATTTTTTTATTTTTAAAGCATTTGGTTTATTTTTTATTTTTTATTTAATTTTTATTTTTGATCTTTCTTTTTTAAAGCTTTTTAAAATTTATTTTTAATTTTTAGTTTTAATTTTTCTATTTTTAAAGCATTTATTTTATTTTTAAATTTTATTTGTATTTTTTTTATTTTTGATTTTTTTATTTTTAAAGCATTTTTTAATTTTTTTAATTTTATTTTTATCTAATTTTTAGTTTTAATTTTTCTATTTTTAAAGCATTTATTTTATTTTTTATTTTTATTTTAATTTTTAGTTTTGATTTTTTTATTTTTAAAGCATTTATTTTACTTTTTTTTATTTTTATCATAATTTTTAGTTTTGATTTTTTAATTTTTTATTTAATTTTTATTTTTGATTTATCTTTTTTTAAAGCTTTTTATTTTATTTTTTAATTTTATTTTTATTTAATTTTTTGTTTTAATTTTCTTATTTTTAAAGCGTTTATTTTATTTTTTAGTTTTATTTTTTATTTAATTTTTAGTTTTGATTTTTTTATTTTTAAAGCATTTGGTTTATTTTTTATTTTTTATTTAATTTTTATTTTTGATCTTTCTTTTTTAAAGCTTTTTAAAATTTATTTTTAATTTTTAGTTTTAATTTTTCTATTTTTAAAGCATTTATTTTATTTTTAAATTTTATTTGTATTTTTTTTATTTTTGATTTTTTTATTTTTAAAGCATTTTTTAATTTTTTTAATTCTAATTTTTATTTAATTTTTAGTTTTAATTTTTCTATTTTTAAAGCATTTATTTTATTTTTTTAATTTTATTTTTCTTAATTTTTAGTTTTCATTTTTTATTTATAAACTATTTATTTTATTTTTTATTTTTATTTTTTATTTCATTTTTCTTTTTGCTTTATCTATTTTTAAAGCATTTATTTTATTTTTTTATTTTTTATTCAATTTTTAGTTTTGATTTTTTTAAAGAATTTATTTAATTTTTTACTTTTTATTTAATTTTTATTTTTTATTTTTTCTATTTTTAAAGCTTTTTATTTTATTTTTTAATTTTATATTTTATTTAATTTTTATTTTTAATTTTTTATTTTTAAAGCATTTATTTTATTTTTTAATTTTATTTTTTATTTCATGTTTGGTTTTGATTTTTTTATTTTTAAAGCATTTGTTTTATTTTTTATTTTTTATTTAATTTTTATTTTGGATATTTCTTTTTTTAAAGCCTTTTTTATTTTAAATTTAATTTTTAGTTTTAATTTTTTATTTTTAAAGCATTTATTTTATTTTTACATTTTTTTAAATTTTTGAATTTTCTATTTACAAAGCATTTATTTTATTGTTTTAACTTCATTTTTATTTAATTTTTAGTTTTAATTTTCCTATTTTTAAAGCATTTATTTTATTTTTTTTATTTTTATCTTAATTTTTAGTTTTGATTTTTTTCTTTTTAAAAGCATTTATTTTATTTTTTATTTTTTATTTAATTTTTACTTTTGATTTATCTTTTTTTAAATCATTTAATTTATTTTCTAATTATATTTT